ACCAAAACTAGAAAGGTAACTGGGCTAAGAGGATTGCCAATGTTTTGGCCCTAGCCCCTCAAGGTCAACAAATAATCCAGGACACGAGGGAACCTTTTCTATGGGATCCTACATCTCTGGTAAGTCACCCAATCTCCTGATCAGCGAGATTGCTAGACACCAGAGCATAAATGTACCATGTGCCAAAGCAGGACAGTAAGAGGGAAGTCTCCACACTTTCACTGAAAGTAACACGGTCATGCAAGGCCGTGAACCATCCTGATGGCCAACAGTGACAGAGGAGCTGAGAGGCTGAAGGTGGTTCCAAATATTGCCTAATTATCACTTGGCCTTTTGGCTAAGATCAAGTGCATAATATTGCCTAACTTAACTGACCTTGATATATACCAAGAGGTTCGTACTGATTGACACAGATCTCAATTTAACTTGGTCTTAAACACCCAGCAGAGAAGAACAACCAAAAGAGGTATAAAACAATGCCATAGTAATATAGCTAGATATAAAAGTGGGGGGCAGTCACGGACCCTTCTGGCAGTTTCCAGCTCTACCAGTAGCTGACCGTGGTTATGGATTACTAGGAAAAAAATTATGGTAAAATCTATAAAAGCTCCGCTAGAGTTTTGTATTTCTTAGCGAGATTTGTTCTTCAAATTGTCTCTTCTTAGCTAAAACTAGAGACATATAATGAAGTATCAGATGTATAACCTTTATCAATGAAAGAATCTAAGAGCCAGCAGGTTACAATCACTATTTCAGTTTCTAAGTGTGACTTTCTCCCCAACCTGCCCTACCATTCTAGTCTGCTCATGCTTAGATTATACCTACTCTAATTTCTTAAGTTTTGTTTATTCTTGCCTAGAGGCTGCCAAACTCCAAGCAGTCACACAAACAGAACCAATGACAAATGTGCTAGACTTCTTTTACTGGGATCCACCAGACTGACCTTGTAAACAGCTCATAACTGCTAAACTATACAATATGACTTCTATGTTGGATTCTGAAGTCCTCTGGACCTTCTTATCTTTGGTGGGAAGCTATTACTAGTTCCTCCTGGTGGAAATGCTTGTTGGCTATATTCATGGCAATCCTGCTGACCTTCTAATTTAGTCTATGTATTCTTAACTGTTTCTTTGGCTTTGTCTCCTTCAGACTCAAAGCTATATGGCTACCAATATGAGAGTGCCTGGCGCCTATCAAAGACCCTTTGTACAGTAACTCTAACTGCCAATCACAACTACAACTCTCTTCAGCGGAAGTATCCAGAGCTGTCTTCCACCTTTGCCCCCTCACAGCAGTTAGGGGTGCTTCTTCAGAGGGGTGAATATTGCAGATCAGTAAATTAATCAGATATCTTATAGGTGAAGGAACCTTTTCTTACATCTTTGGTAAGTCACCCAACCTCCTGAGCAGGGAGATTGTTGGACACCAGAGGACAAATGTAACGTGTGCTAAAGGAGGGTCACCAAGAGAAAAAAATCTCCCATGATTTCATTGAAAGCACCATGGTGAAGCAAGGCCATGACCCATCCTGATGGCTGACACTGACAGAGGAGCTGAGAGGCTCTGTGCATGGTTCCAAAATAATGCCTAAAGAGACTGAATTGACCTTGACAGATAGCAAGAGGTTCATGCTGATTTAACACAGGTCTCACTTTAACTTGGTCTTAAACACCCTGCAGAAAAGAATAACCAAAAGAGGCAGTCAATGAACAGGCACTAGTGATAGATTTTTTGAGGGCCACCACTCTACCTCCCTATAAAGGGATAGATCTCCAAGTGGAAAACCAGATGACCCAGTCTCAAAAAAGGCTACACCTATTTAATACCATCCTCCCTTATTTCCCTGTCAATATCTCAGACTGTTGGATGTTTATGTCCATTTATCCCTGCTCGTTCACCCCAATCCCTATTCCCCTATAGTTTAATGTGTCAGTCCTTGATAAAAACAACCTCTCCAGTTTTGGGACCCTTTGCTGTGAGTCTCCCACTCCCCACACAACTAATCAACTTGACATGTATGGGAAATGATAACAACTGTACTCGTTTTACTTGTTCCCTCTTTATCTTACGAGAGCCCAGTCTGCCTATTCAACGGCCTATACTTCATCATATGCAGCCAGGAGGCATTCCAATGCCTCAGTTGATCTGAAATTTTCTGTTACATAGTGTTTCTCAGCCCTCCCTTGACAATCTATATGGAATTCCAGATGTTTGAAAGGATCCTCTCATGGTCGAAGGTCAATAAGAGGGCGGCCCCTCCTCTGGTCCCATTCTTGATGGAAGCGGGGGTCCTCACTGGCATGGTGACGGGTATAGCAGGTATCTCTACCTCTATACATTTATATCAGGCATTGTCAACAGAGATCTCAGAAGACCTGGTCAACATAAGCCAAACCCTCAACACAGTCCAGGACCAGATTAATTCCCTAGCAGATGTTGTGCTCCAAAATAAACGTTTCCTCAACATGCTGAAAGTAGCCCAAGGGGGAATGTGCCAGGATCTAGGTGAAGAGTGCTATTTTGTTAACCAATCAGGCATAGTCAAGGAAAAGGATAACGAATTATAACAATGCATCAAAAACCTTAAGAAACAATGGGGTACATGGGGAATGACCCAAGACTACTCCTGGCTCCAAAAGATTATGCCATGGCTACTTCCCTATTGGGCCTGCTGACCTACGTGTACCTTCTGGTCATGGTAGGCCCGGGTCCATTTCACTGTTTTCAATTTTCTTGCAGGAACACATGAGGACACATACCAATCAGTCATGGAACTCATCATGGCAGTGTATCAGCCACTGTGGCAGAGGGAAGAAGCACCCACCTACCACTGCCCCCACTGGATCCAGGTTTAGCCCCAAACTTTGCCCCTCTGTCAGCTTGAAGCAGCTCCACAAGAAGAGACCTTCGCCCAATAACCATAAAACAAAAGCCTGGAATGTTAGATTTCCCTCACCTTAAGATGGCTGTTACATCCCTACTTCTCACCTAAAAAGATGGCTTCTTCCACTTACCAAAGGACAGCCTTCTTCCCATGATGCGTCTTCTCCTGCCAAAAAGTTACCAGATACTTGCTACCTCTGAGGAACCAATGATGTCACAAGCCCCTCCTAGTGATATCTCAGGTTCCTCTAATCATTTAACTCCACCCCGCCCATAAGCCCCACCTGAGTCCTATAAAAGAAGCTCTCTGTTCTGCCATATTGCTCTCTCTCCTTTGATCGGAGACGGCCTGGCACATTGTCCCTACAATAAAGACTTATAGTGGTTCTGGTCTAGTCTTGCTTTTCAGCTTTTTTCACCGACTTTAGGGAGTCAGGGCCAGTCCATGAGGAGCAAACGTGAAGGACAATGAAGACAAATTCACTGAAAAAGTAAAAGAGAAACTACCACACCCATGTAGGATAAATAGCAGTGATGGATATTTAGGTGTCAATCACCTGGGTGGGGGACCAATATCTTCCAGGAAAGATCCCTGACCCACCCCTTACCACCAAAAATCCTTGTCGTTCCTTTTACTCTAGCTATGTGACTTGTTTCCTCCTTGGATCGCCATCCAAGCAATATTACCTAAGTGACTATACTTGTAACCTTACTAGTTGACTAGTTTTGTCCCACTTTGAACCCGCCTCACCCCATAGCTTTGTCTCATAAAACACCTTTGAGAAATTAGGTGAGCAGGCAACTCACTTTCCAGTCCCCCTTCTGTTTCTCTTACACAGCTTTCTTTCTCTCAATTTTTTCCTACACTTAGAAAAAAAAAAAAAGGTTACCCAAAACATGAGCTACCTACTATGTTTAAAGTGATAAAAAGATTGCTTTCTAGCTGGGTGAGGTGGTGCACACCTATAATCCTCCTAGCTACTCTTGAAGCCAAGACAGGAGAATTACAAGTTTGAAGCTAGCTGGGGCAACTTGCTTAGACCCTGTCACAAAATAAAGTAAAAAGGGCTGGGAGTGTAGCTCAATGGCAGAGTCCTAACTGAGGCCCTGGGTTCAATCTCTAGATACCACACACACACAAAAAAGATTTGTTTTATTACAATGCAAACTACATAGCTACTGACAAATTGCTTTAAATCATGTCTATGGCTGACACAGTACTTAGCTCCATTCCAGTCCCACCTTATAAAAGCTTGGTGCATTTCCCTAATGCCATTTAGCCCAGGCTCCACGCAAGTCCTAGCTTTTTTCCCAAGCAGATAATCCAAAAGGATAATACAAAAGAAGAGACATAAAGTAGCAGTTATGCTTCTGCCACTTCCTCCAGTGAGTACAGTGATAAAGATATCTGATTGTTCTGCAGTAGCTATAGATAAAAATTTAGTGCCTTGGGGGCTGAAAGGCAGAGGAGGCCAGGGCATAGATTTTCCTGGCAGAGGCTGTATCAAGGACAATGTGGTCCTGGAGCTACTAGTAACAGCAACTGATTTACTAGCACAGACTGAAACTTCACTGGTGAGCCAGTTCGGCCCTACATCTGTCATTCCTGGAGGCTCAGAATGTTCCATCAGCCTGCTGAAGAATTTTATGAGCAACTACTCTACTGTATTAAGTCTTTCTGCTAAGTTATATAATGAACCCACTGTATAGGACAGAGTATAAAAACTTATGTCTAAAACTTTTTGTGGTTTTTACATTGGGGCATCTGAAATCAAGATAAAGCATTTCTCTGTCTGCCTCCCTCTCCCTCTCTCCTCCCTCTTTTTCTGTAGAATAAATCCACGGCCTTGAATATGCTAGCAAGTTCTCTATCACTGAGCTATATACCCCTAGCCTAAAATTAAGCAATATTTTCATTCCATAATTATACATAAGAGGTATATTTTTTGGTCAAGAATGGCAACAAAGAAGTATGTATAAGACTATCTGAAAAATCATAGAACTGATTTCTAGAAATCTACAACTTGTGAGTTACCCCAATTCCCCTTAGTAATGGACTGTAAACATGTAAACAGATATATAATTATAAACGGAATGCAAATAAAATATTTTCTTACTTGACTGCAGCAAACACATTATCTCCAGCTTGAACAATTATACAATTTTTCTTTGCTTCATTTGTACCAATATATACAGGAAGTTCATCAGGCGAATCTCTGTTTTAATAAAAGATATTAAAAATTCAGTTGCCTATATAACCTATATTATCAGACAAGTAGAATTTTAGGTCTCTAGATAATAATTTATACCTGTAAAAACAAACAAATTTACCAGGTTTAAGTTCCAAGTTTCTTAGGAATATCTATGATATCTATACAGGACTACCTAAAATTCAGATTCTCAACATCAAGTTACTTTTTCTTTCTTGTTTTTTCCCCCCAGTACTGATCAAACTCAGGACTTTGTGCTTTCAAGGTAGGTGCAGCAGTGCCACTGAGCTAAATCCCCTGCCTTGCATCAAGTTACTTTTATACCTCAAAACAAAGAAAGGTGGATAAAGGATGTAGTGAAAATTATATGTAATCACCAATCACCCCCATTTTACTGTCAAAAACAAATAACAAAAAAGAAACAGGACAGAAGATTACAAAGCACTAGATATGAAAGTACTCTATTCATGTATACAATCAAATCTGTTTATTTTAAAATTGAGAAAACAAACAGAAGTTACTCAACCAAAATTCTAGTAAATTAGTGTCAAAGCCAAGAAGAATCCATATGAACCCCATCAACTTTCTGCTGTATGAAATCTCCCCTGTGCATATTTCACTTTTTCTTCTATTATCTTTTTCCTCTATTAATATCTACTTTCAAGAACATCTCTACTGGTACAAGTGGACAAGGTATTTCCCCCCTTAAGCAATTTCTTTTTCTTAACATTCTAAGCATCTGCATGCATTCATTTAATGCACATAATATTCTACCAGATATGTATAATTATCCCCACTGTTTCAGAAGAGGAAACTGAGTCACAGAAAGTCAGTCAGTAATGATTGACACAGGATCACCAAGATAATAAATAGACCAGTCTCTCTGACTTCAGAATTCACTCTTACCTACCATGATCCTACGAAATACAGTACATGGATTATCTAAGTCAAAATGGTTGCTTTAAATTACCTTTCTTGGGTTAAAGGAGCTTTTCTGAACCCAAAAGGGAAAAAAGTTTTTAGCCACATAGTAAAAACCAGGGAGGTTCAACCTAAAGAGTTTGCCACCCTAGGCTAAGTTAAAAAGGTAACAACAGGAAAAATAACAGCTGGCTTACATATTTTCCAATAAGGGGAAAAAATATGCTTGTCACCTCGGGTGATGCCAGTGACTATACTCAGCAGAACAGGAGTTGTACTTTAGAGAAGAAGAAAAGATCCTTTACCTGAAATACCCCATGTGGTACTGAGTTTTATTATCTCCAACAATAATGGTCTGGAACTCAGGAGGATCATAGTAAAACCTCCAATGAAGATTAAAATTCAAGCCTATTGATTTTTTCTTCATTTTGTGTTTTCCAGCAAGGATATCATAAGGACCCACTAATTGTAGTCCAAGGCTTGTGGAAAGTGCATCTATAAAGAAAATAAGTTTATTTAGGAATACTTTCTGGAGGCAAACAAGAAATAATGTCTTTGCATTAGTAAACTTTCTAAACAACTCTCAGTTTCTAAAGTTAAAACAAAAGTCATGTATGAAGATGTTAGTTATAACCACTCACGGCAGAGAAAAAGAAATGCGCATTAACATTTAGGATTTTCTCTTAACTTTAACACTGAATTAGCTTAACATTTCAAATGTTCTTGCCACTTCTTCTTTTAGCCAAAGCAAGACTGTTCTTATTCCTATCAGCATATTAGAGGTACAAACACCTCGGCTCATTACCACATGCTTATTAGCTTCAAAAACGCACAAAGGGAGAAACAGACAAAACATGTGGGTAAAAGATGATGAAGAATATTTCCTTCCCTTTCTCTGTACCTTAGCTAATTGGCACTCCAGATTTCCTTGCCTCTTTGATAATCTGATTGCCAACCCTAACCCTGATGATTCCATCTTCCTTCTCTACTCACAGATCAGAGTGAGTACCAAATAAAACCACAAAGCCACAAACTTATACAAATGTACTTTAACTTCAGATGGGTGATTGGTGATTCTGTAAGCAACCCAGGAAGGACTCAGTTATATTAAAAGGCAGGGATGGAGGTCCAGGGACTCCTCCCGCCCGGGAATGGGGGCATGGCAAGGGTTGGAGAGCTGCTCCGCCCAGCCCAGTGTCCTGAGCTACGGAGTAAGGAGCCCTTAACAAGGAATCAGCCAAGGAGGAGGGCCACACCATCACCCTGCCCCAGCAGCTGGCCTGGCACGCCCTCCCCTGGCAGAGGCCACCTGGCTTAGTCCCTGACCCAACCTCTCTGTTCTTTCCATCCATCATGCGCCGGTTTCTCCCGTCCTTTCTATTCTGATGCTCTGGGGAACACTGAGCACCAAGAAGAATGTGGGTACTGTGTCCCGTGGTCCTTTCCTTCTAGGATGTCACTTAAACCGGCCAAATTCATTCATCCCAGAGGGACTGACTGACTGATCTGCTTGGGATCAATCTCGCACCTTGCACTTGCTAGCCCAGGGCTTTACCACTGAGCTACACCCCAGCTGGGGGATCCATTCTGAAGCACCAGACCATGACACTCCATAGGAGGGTTTATTGAACCCGAGAAGACCCCAAAAACTCTGCCAAAAGACTTCTAAACTGAATTGAGAGATTCAGTAGAGTAGCTGGATACAAGATCAAAACTCAAAAATCAATAGCCTTTTTCTACACAAGATAACAGACTCACTGACAGAGAAATTAGGGAAATAATTCCTTTCACACAGCATCCCAAAAAATGAAATATCTAAGAATCAGTCTAATGAAGGAAGCAAAAGACCTCTACATTGAAAACTACAATAGTCTGAAAAAAAGAGATCGAAGAGGATATAAGAAAATGGAAAGACATCCTTGCTCCTGGGTAGGAAGAACCAACATAGTGAAAATGGCCACACTTGCAAAATTGCTATGCAGATTCAATGCAATCCTGATTGAAATCCCAACAATATATTTCACAGACCTAGAGAAAATAACCCAAATATTCATTTGTAACCAAAAGAGACCTAGCATAGCAAAAGCCAATCTAGCCAACAGAGACATGAAAGAAGGCATCACAATCCCCAACTTGAAACTATACTACAAAGCCATTGTGATAAAAAAGCATGGTACTGGGAAAAAAAAAAAAAAGACCCGAGGATCAGTGTAATAGATTCGAAGATGCAGAAACAACTCCAGACATACTCAGCTACCTCATCTTTGACAAAGGAGCCAACCATCCTCAGTGGAGGAAAGACAGACTCTTCAGTAAGTTGTGCTGGAAAAAACTGGATTTCAACCAGCCAAAAATTAAAACTAGACCCCTATCTTTTAACATGTACCAAACTAAAATTGAAGTGGATTAAAGATCTCAATATTGCTGGGTGTGGTGGTACACACCTGTAAACCCAGCACTCGGGAGGCTGAGGCAGTAGCATGGCTGTGAGTTCAAGACCAGCCTGGACTACATAGTGAGTTCCAGGTCAGTCTCAACTACATAGTGAGACCCCGCCTCAAAAAACAAAAAAAAAAAAAAAATAAAAATCTCAGTATTAGAGCAGAAACATTAAACTTGCTGGAAGATAAGTCAGACCTCTTAAAGATATCGGCATAGGAAAAGACTTTATGAACAAATCCTCAGTAGCATGGGAACTAGCACAAAGAATGAACAACTGGGATCTCATTTTATTAAAAAGCTTCTGCAGTGCAAAAGAAACCACTAAAAGAGATAAGAGACAACCTACAATCTGGGAAAAAAATTTTACCAGTTGTTCCTCAGACAAATGTCTACTATCTAGAATAAAATAAAATATATAAAGAACTCGCCCCCCAAATATATAAAGACCTGATTAAAAAATGGGCATCTCAAATGAACAGACATTTCTCAAAGAAGTAAAAGCAGCAAATAAATATATGAAAAAATGTTCAACATCATTGGTCCTTCAAGAAATGTAGATGAAAACAATGCTGAGATTCCATCTCACCCCAGAAAGAATGGCTGCCATCAAGAAATCAACTAATACCAAATGCTGGTGGGGCTGTGAGGAGAAAGGAATCCTTTTCCATTGTTGGTCGGAGTGCAGACTGGTGCAATATGGACATACTTCAAAAAACTAGTATTAGAGATCCCATTTGACCCACCTATCCCTCTGCTGGGTATCTTTCCGAAAGAATTGAAAGAATCATTCTACAGCAATATATGTACACCCATGTTTATAGTGGCATAGTTTGTAATAGCTAATAGTTTGTAAACTCAGAAATGTCCTAACTGCCCATCAACTGGAGACTGGATAAAGATGATGTGGTTTTTCTATAAAATGAAGTGCTACTCAGCCATGAAGAACAAGACACTAGAGACATTTATAACTAAATGGATGCAAATTGAGGCCATACTCTGAAGTGAAATAGGACACACATGTAAATACCCAATAGTTTATCTGGTATGAAAAACTAAATGTGTAAGTAAGATTCCAGTTGTATAATTGATAATGTGAAATAGGAAGAAAAGGGCTAAAGGAGTAGGGGAAGTGGGAAGGGTAGGGGAAATGAAAGAAAAGAAAAATATGAGAAAAGGAAAAAATGGAAACAAAGTCTTTGTAAATGGAGAAGTGTTGAGGGGGTGAAGGGAGGGCAGGGATATGGGGAAAAAATAAGAACCAAGACCTGTCATGTAAAGGTACAAGATCCCAATGATGAATGTAACTGTACTGTATACCTAAAAAGTACCAATAAAGTCAATGAGAAAAAAAAAAGGCAGAGATGGAAAGAACAAGACAATTCCTGGAAGAGGTAGCACCATGTTTAAAGGTATGGGGAGAGTTTATTTAAGGAGTTAGTGGGGGAAGGTGGAATTAATTTGGCTTAGCTGGAGGGTAAAGGAGCATGTATTCATTTTTAAAGCAATAAGAAAACCACAACCACCAACGTTACTGCTAGAAATAACATTATAGCCTGCTACTCAGTGATAACTTTCCACACTTTCCCCTACTATGAACAGATATAATGACAAACACTTCAGAATGAGGTCATGCTATTATGTAATCTGCTTTTTATCCTCCATCCTATTTCCACTTGAGTTTTCTGTATATTTTTCTCATGCTGTTGTGATTTTACATGATTTTTAATACAGATTGATAGCCCGTTACATTATAAAATGGTATTCATCTATTTTCCTACTGATGAACATGTACTATTTCTAGTTTTTTCTATTCTAAAAAGGGTTGAGTCACACTATGAGTATTTTTTTAGAGAAAGTACTACACTGTTTTTTAAATGTTCTGATATAATGCCAAAATTCAGAGTATGTATATAGTGCATAAGAGTGCTTATTATTTAAAATATTTAAACAAAAGGGATTATAGTAAAAAGTCACTCCATCATAACCCACAAATGATCTCTTGCACACTTAAAGAGACAGAATAAGCTGGTGAAAACCACACAGGGATATGTGTGCATCCCCTGGCTTTTTCAAAAAATACAAATGAAGCCATAAACTATTTACTGTTTTTATTTCACATAGCATATTTTAGACATGAGTCTTTCTCATTTCCTAAAAGTCTGCCTCATTCTTTTAAAACTATATCCACCGAGTAGCTAAGTTACTGGACATTTACGCTATTTCATATCTTTTGTTTCAGTAAATATTCTTGAACATAATTCTTCATTTACCTAGTCCAACAGACAAGTTCACTAAATGGCTAACTCAACTAAAACTCCTATTTGTGAAAGTGTTTCTTTTACACTGATATCAAAGAATATCATGAAATTATTTGCCTTTGCCAATATAATAGATAACAGTGGCATAGTAATAGTATTCATTTATATTTTTTTTACTATACCATATTTCTTACAACTGTAGAAATATTCTTTTTCTATGAGCTATTTTTACCCTTAGTCCAGTTTCCTATTACATTTTCCATAGAAGCAGCATGATGCTCATACTACTCACCCGCTGGCTTTTCAGGATCAAGTTCTTCACAGAATTTCCAGAAGTGATAGAAATCTTCAGGTAGGGAAAGCTTATAATGATTTTCTACTTCTTTTCGAAGCTCACTGGAGACATCAGCTTCACAGGATTTACTCTTCTTCACATCAACTGTCTTTTCACACTGAAAATTACAATATACAACTTTAGTTCTCCAGAAGTAATTTCAGTAACTTTCCTTGCATAACAATATTTCTCATTGTTATTCACTCTTCTCTGGGAGTTTTGGGTGTGTGTATATAGGTACGTATGTTTAAACTAAAGAGTGTATCTGAATAAAAATCTGGGGATTCTTTTGAGCAAAAAAAAAAAATAGAATAGTTCATACGATTGTCAAATGGAATCTGCACAGCAAATCTTTAAATACATCTCTTTCAAGATACTGGAAGAACAGGGAAAAAAAAAAACTACCAGTAAAAAGGAGGAAAAGAATAATGCAGGATTTGCCCTCTTTGGGCTAACAAGATATATCTCTCATTTAAACAGACTCCCCGATCACACTGGAAGCAAATTATCAGAAATAACTGGATACAAGGGAACTTACAGGTGAAGAAACTGTGTCTTCAGCAAAAGTCCATCTAGAGTCATGTTTAGGCTTTTTATTACAATCACTACTGAGTCTTTGTATTTAGAAGGTTAGGGACCAAGTTAAGCATCTGGAGTCCTTTACCAAGTTAGCGGAACAACACTAAAAGCTGAGCCAAATATCCTATTATTTAACAAAAGACCTTTGAATGCCAGGATTAGGTTATAAACTCAACTCTAGTATCTCTGCAGAATAGGTATGCTAGATTTTATAAGGGCTATTAGGTATCTGATAAATTTCTGTAAAGATAATATGCTTATATGGAGGTAACCTATCTTTAGTTTTCAAAGTTGTAATAACTTTCTTCCTGGGAACCTAGACCCTTCCTTTTTGGATTGTTTCTTTTTTGTCCTCCAGTGCTGGGGGCTGAATCTAGGGCCTCATACATGCTAGGCAAGTCATCTACTAATGAGATACATTTTGAGACAGGCTATTATTAAACTGCTCAGGCTAGCCTTGAACTTGTGAACTTGTGACTCTCTTCTCCTCTCAGCGTCCCTGCACAGCTGTGATAATGGGTATGTACCACTACACCAGGTCTGGATTAAATCCTACTTAGTCTTTCTACCTAGATCAGTGGTATTTTTTTGTTTTGCTTTTTTGTTTTGTTTTTTTTTTCCTTTGGTACTGGGGATTGAACTCGGGACCTTGCACTTGCAAGGCAGGCAGCGGAACCACTGAGCTAAATCCCCCGCGCTAGATCAGTGGTTTTTGACCAGGGATGATTTTCCCACTCCCCTTCTCCCCTGGAGACATTTATCGTGTTTGTAGAGCTTTTTGTCACAAATTTGGAAGGGTGCTAGTGATGTGTGATGGGGTGGATGTTGAGTAGCATGCTGCTCAATATTCTGCAACGCCCAGGATAGGTTCCTGCAACAAAGACCTGTATGGCCTCAACTGTCAATGGTACTAAAACTGAGAATTTTGACCTACATGTCTTATATTTGTATTCTTCCATTTTCTTAACAGGCTCAAGTTTGTTGATACTACTGTAGGTGTCATTCAAAATCTACAAAATGTTTGAATCAGATGACACATAGGAAAGTTCATGATGGCACTGTTCTGGGAGCAAAAAAAAAAAGGGAACCAACACACGAAATGCCTATTGACAGAATGGATAGTTACAGGACTCTTAAACAATGGAACACTACAGTTAGTAAAAAGGAAATATAATTAAACAATATGGACCAATGATAATATTTAATAAAGAAATAAGATTATATGCAGCATGATCATCTTTTTATAAAGTTCAAAAATTTAAAAACCATTGTTTATATATATACTCACAGGAGATGAAGTAGGCTGAAAGGATAAGGAACAGGCTGAAAGGATACATGCATAAATGTAGTTACTGTCAGTGTTTCAGTTCTTGAACTGGGCAATGGGTTCACAGGTGTGTTATACTATTAAATAAATAAGATTAAAAAGGACCAGGAATTGACCAATGATAAGTTTAGTTATTATACCATGAATTATAATGCTTCCATCTGGTGGCATAAAAAAGTTAAACTGGAAAAACTACTAAATTATGAATTCCAAAATGGATGCTAATAATAGCAATTATGGTAACAATAATAATGCAATACTTAAGGGTCTTGCCACAGTTTTAAGTACTTTGCATTGACTCTTTTAATATTAACTACTAATTTAAGAGCTAATACTATTATGCACATTGGCCTCATGAAAAGATGGAGGTTATATAAGCTCTCTTACATCCCTAGTTAAACGTGGAAGAGCAGAAATTTAAATCTGGCTCCACAGCACAAATTCTTAGCTGTTTTTCATGCTGCCCCCCAACCAGAAATACAGAACAGTATTTGCTTTTGCTTTTGTGACTGTATTCGGTTAGACTTTGAATCACTGGTTTAAACTTGAATATGTCATGGATGCTTAATCTGCTGTGCTCAAAGACAATTTTACCTTGGTTAGGTTGCTTAAGCTCTCGGTGCTTTGTTCTCTCACCCCAACAGAGACATATGTAGTACTGGTATCATGGGGTTATTATGCCCAGTAAGTTATATTTAAAAATAAAAACAATAGTCTTAGCACATTTCACTGCTGGCTGTTACTGTTAGCCATTGACAGTTTCTATTAGGATCATCTTCACTTTGGGGATTTTATTTCTGATGAGATGTACCACTCTGACAGAGCAATTCCTCGCTACACCTTCAAAGAGGGATATATTCTACCTCTGCCTTACTTCTGCCTTAGTCCACACACTACAGTAGTTCAACTTCTCCCAAATTCTATCAAGTAGAATCTGAGACAGCTGATCCCTTCAAAGACCATACACTTCATCCTATGTTCCTAGAAAGCATACCCAACATGAAGAACGCCTATAACTATGGTCCTCTAGCAGTTAAACTTTTTAAATACAGCTAGAGTGATTTTTGCATTTCATTCCAATGACACTTCTTTCCTGCTTAATTTCTGTTATTGGTAACTACTGCAGTGCTTATGAAATTCTTGAACTCGTAAAAAAGCCTGAGAGAAAATACGCACACTTTCTGTCCAACGCCTTCATTTTTGTGGTACTTTTATGATCAGGTCCCTCTCACCTTCCTAACTCCCAGCCTCGAACCAGGACGAATGCTCCTTTGGGTCGTAAAATACCCTATATTTTTACGTCAAGAGATTTCTCTTCATCAACCACTTTCAAACAGTGTTTCCTTAAACGACCTCTTTACAGCCCCTCGGACTTGTTAAGTCCTCCTTCAGTGTCCCCATACTTTCTGCACACCAGCAACGTAATTCCATGCAAAAAGTTACAGTAAAACGTGTATTTATTCACTCGTGCCTGCCTCCCCAGGCTGCGGGTCTACATCTTGAATCCTGGCAGTTACTCTGTTTCCCGTCGAGGTGGCTGGCAAAATGAACGAGCTTCATTCGCTCCCCCGGGAACCGCGCCAAGAGAAGTTGGGAGCAGACGTAAAGACGCAACTTTCCAGGTCTCATCCGCAGCAGAGCGGGAAACGGCGGCCTTGCCTGGGGCCCTGCAGCAGACTGCTCTCGGCCACACAGCAGGTGCTCAATGACTCGAAGGTGAGTGAAAAGTGCAAGGCTGGAGCCCTGACTATCACCTCAAGCGACCCGCGGAGCCTAAGCTGCCTTTCGGGCTATACCTGTTGCCGTTCCCCGCCAGGCCTGCGCTTCCCGCCGCCGACCATCCTGCAGCTGCAGCGCCTGCAGAACCTCGCGCTCCCGTTGCTTCCGAGTGCGGCCGAGTACTTCCGGGTTCAAAAGCCACCAATCGAAATGCCCGCTGTAGCGCGGGCGCGCGCAGATATGTAAAAAGCCCCGCCCCTGCCCGCACCCAGAGGCCTAGAGCCTGAAAGGGTGGGAGGCCCCGCCCACTCCCCCGCAGGGCGCGAGGGTCGCTGAGTCTGCGCGCCGCCCAAAGTAACGCCGCCTCTCAGAGCTCCACTCCGGTGACCCCAGGTGACAGGTTTGCGGGAGCTAAACTGGTTCAGTTCTTCCCGAGGCATTTACTGTTGGCAGAGTTGAATGTATGGCGCTGCCGTCGCTCCCGCTTGAAATTTATCACCCTCCCTCCCTATACTTCTATTACGTAGCGCTAATCCATCCCATTGTCTCCCAAAAGTTATTTCCCACCCGTTTCGTTTTGTGTAGACCCTGAACCAGTAACATCAACACCCTCAGGGACCTGTTAAGAAGGAGGAATCTTAGGCTCTGTCCAGATTTATTGAATCAGAATCTGCATTTTAATAAGATGTCCCAATGATTCCTATCCACATCAAAATTTCAGAAGCACTGCCCCATCGCAGCCTTTCTGCCAAGGTCCTGTGCCTCATCCTTGAGACAGATTCTGCCTGTATCTTCCTTTCCCCCTCATTTTAGACTCACCTTTTGTCATTTTGTGGAACATATCCTCCAGTAGTGCCCCCCTCTCAGCCTTTGCACTGAGACACAACCCCAGCCCTTTTTATTTTTATTATTTTAACATTGCTTTAATCAAGTAGTGTAGCTGTTTGAAACAAAAAAATCGAGACAACTCAATAGAGGATTAGCAAAGGATGATAACCTGGGAATAAAATCCAGACTGTGAGTTTAAATTCCACCAAATTGGCACCAGGCTGAAAGTAGTTTAAAGCCAAACCCTCTCCTTAGTGCTGAGAAGCCCTGAACCTGTTTCCCTACAGAGTAGAGCTTCCCTTACCAGCCAGACACTGGGTAGGCTGAGTGCCACTCAGTGGGTCCCAGCACCTCCCACAGGATCTAGTCAATGACAACCAGTAATTCAAGTGAGTAATTTGAAACCCAGGTAACATGCCTTTGCAAGAGCAGTCTCTCTTTAATGTGACTTCACTTTTCCTCTCCAAGTACTGCTACTCCCCCACACCCCGCAAATCTTCCATATCTGAAACTTTCTGCTGGCTAAGCAGTGGATTCTGTATTCAAAGTGTCACTCAGAACGTTGAAGGGCTTGCCCCACAGTACTTTAGTTCTCAGTATTATTGAGAAACCCTATGCCATCACAATATTTATTTTTCTATTATAGGTGACTACTTTCTTTATATGTAACCTACTTTTATTTCTGTTTTTGTTTGAAGAAATTTGAGGGTCATTTCTTAATTCCCAGTTTTCTAAAACAATCACATATCTTGGCTTTGGGTCTCATTTTTTAAAAAATTGAATCCACGCTCTTCAGTCTTGATAAATAGTCTGTAATTCTGAGTAGTTTTCTGGTATTGTTTATTTGATAATTTCCTTCGTCCGTTCCCTCGATAAGTTTCTCCTTTTTCTGAAATTAGTTATGCAGGTGTTAAACTTTCTTGACAATTATTTCTCATCTGTTCTACTTTTTCTCATCTTTTTATTCTACTTTCTGTGTGGCTTTTTTGGCTTAGACGAATCTATCAAATTATTTTATTTCATTATAAGTGCTCTTTTTATTTTGTTTTCATAGTGTCACTTTTTTCCCCCAGAAATTTAGCTTGTTTTATCTACAAAGACCTAAAGTATGTTTTTTTAAAGATGCTTTGCATTGATTTTGATTCTTCTGAATCTTTTCTGGTTGGCTGGTTGGCTGGTTGGGTGACTGATTATTTATATCTGGTCTCTATCCTTTATGCTAGAGGACTTTGAGATATGGGTGGCCATCTTTGCTCTCAATTCATGTGTAAAAGTGATCATCTGAAAACTGCTTTGGAGTCTTAGGCACAGCCTCTCAACTAGTAGACAAGGTGTATGATAATGGGGAAAGGGCCCTCCAAAACCACTGAGCTAAATCTCCAGCCCCTAGTTATCGCTTTTCTTTGAGAGAATAATTTTCTGTTACTTGCTTTGAGAATATACTATTTTCTTGGAACCCAATAGGGAAAGGAGGCTGGGAATCTTAATAATTTCAGAATTTACAATGTATTAGCCTAGATCTTCCAGAGGAACAGAACCAATAGAATCTCTATCTGTCTTCCTTCCTATTTATCTGTCCATCATCAGTTAGCATGACCATGGGGCCTAAAAAGTCCCACAAACTGCTCTGTGCAAGCTGGAGACCCAGGAAAGCAGGTGCTGTAATTTGAGAGCCAGGTTGTTGATGGGGAGCTGATGGTGCTGATTCCAGTGCCAGTCTTGAAGATCTGAGAGCAAGGACTGGGAACAGGGAAAGAGAGACAATCCAACTCAAGAAGTCTGGCAGAAGATGAATCATCCCCTCCTCCACCATTCATTCGGAGTGTCAATGGATTGTAATTTTTAACAGTATATTTAGAGATCCTGTGATCTAGTCAAACTGACACATAAAATTAACTATCACACAGACTTTCACTTAAAGTACTGCTCCACCATGGCATCTTTACTGCAGCTGTGTCTGCAGTCTCTGAATCCATAGTCCTCCTGCTTCAGTATCTCCAGAAAGAAACAGCTGCAGTTTTCTGGTTAAGAATGGGGAATTTTGCCAGAGGAGGAAATCTGGAAGTCTTACTGATTCTGGGGTTTTTAGTGGACTCTTTTACCTCAGCCCTTGTTGCATGTGTGGAGGTGGGTGGGTAGGTCTGGTGCCTCCATACCTGAGCCTTTGTGAGATTCTTTGATGTTAACTTGCTTTGAAGCTTCACCTCTGAAAAGACTTGTGTTTCCGTTTTCTCTGATCCACTGTACTGGTTCTCACTGGACCGGGCCATATATTTATCAGTGTACTGTATTTGCTTCCTAGAGCTGCCAGGTCAGGCAACCACACATTCAGAGGCTTAAAAAAATGGAAATATCTTCTCTCACTGTTAAGAGGCTAGAAATCAGAAACCGGAGGTCAGAAGATTAGCTCCTTATGGGGGCTCCAAGGGAAACTCTGCTTCATGCCTCCATCTTAGTTGACAATCTTTAACATTCCTTCACTTATAGGTGCTTCACTCCAATCAATGCCTGTTTCATTGTACACTGTTCTCCAAGATTGTCTCTGTCCAAATTTCTTTTTTATCCAGGAATCAGTCATTAGATTCGACCCCACCCTACTCCAGTACTGCCTCATGGTATCTTGATCACATGTGCATAGACCATTTTTCCCAGTAAGTTCATGCTCCATATGCTTTTGGAGGATACAAATCAACCTATAGAGATTAGCTTCTATATTTGTTTTTTTTCAATAAGCATAAGTGCGCCCCCCCCGCATAATCTTTACTTTTGTTTTTGTGCGGCTTCTTAAGGAGTGAAGGAAAGTGGGTGGTTTTTCTTTTTCTTTTGTTTTCGTTTTTTTTTTTTTTTTTTTTTTTTTTTTTGGGGCCCCTTTTGTCTTTTTTTTTGCTGATA